TTTTTACTACTTACAAGGAATACTTCTACTCGTGCTATTTGCCCAAGCTTTGTGTTTGGGCTCAAGCCATGTGCCCCCGTGCCGTTTGTTCTTACGAGAATACTAAAATTTTTTATATTAAAAAAGTTCTCTTCTACAATTTTTTGATGAAAAGTCAAAGCGGCAATGATGTTTTATGTCGTTAACAGATAGTTACAGATGTATAGCCCTTGTCAATAATAACAATAATTTGTCAAACTCTGACTTACTTTGAATTTCCTTTCACGAATTTGCTGATATGCGATTAGTTCAGGGGAAATGCTACAGTAACATCGCAGAAGCTGAAAGAACTCACGCCAACAAAGGGCGAGGAGAGTGGTTCCAGGAAGATAGTGGACGACAATTGATGTTCAGGTTCCAGACACAGATGATCAAGTATTGGCCATAATTGCAGAAGAGCCTTTCAGGGGCACGCAGAGCATTGCACAACAACTGACACTTTACCAGACACCAAATAAATACCGGCTACATTCCTACCACGTATGTAAGATCACATTAAACCAATGGATTACTGAACACCGGAATAAATTGAGCAGGGGTTAATTAACCGAATATGAGAAGCTGCTCGAGAAGAGTGCATAATAAGAGGATTACACAGGCACTTGTTTGGAGTTACTGATGAGTTTCGAAATAGGTTCCGTCATTCAACGATTCCTGTTGAATTTACCGTTTATCATTGTCTGTCTTATTGTCACTTTCTCTATTTATCCATGGTTACCGGAGTTAAATAATTACGAAGCAACAGGTATTTACGTAATGTTAATTAGGCAGATTACCTTGAAAAACATTGTTGCCGTTTTCCAATATATTTTTTTGCAAATTTCTCAGTTTAAAACCAATTGATTTCTTTCACTATTTTTTCTGTACTCCTAAAACACCGTCAGACAACACCTCCAGAGGAATGACGCCAATTTCAAATCACCCTGTATAAATATATGAAGTTGTCACTTCCGTAGGGCGCCCCGTAATGTACATATTTAAAAAAAAATAAGATTGAGCAACAACAGCCGGGAAGCCAGGGAGGATCTGACTTAGGTCAAATCCTCTTCTTTTGAGCCTAGGCATGTCGCAATATCACTTTGCTGCTGTGCAGTTGTGGGGAAATTTTGGAATATCCAGTCGCCACCACACCGGGTTAAACAATTAATTGGGCGCATCACATATTATCTAAACGCATTTCGAGATGATGATAGACGCTAAGAAAAATTTTAATAGATCATTTTGAAAACCTGAGTAGTAAACTAATTTTACCAACAAAAATTAAATGTTTTTAAATCACTTATCTAAAACAAGTATGAATTACGAACCGTTAGTTGGAGGCCTTTATGTTCATCTGATAGAATTATGTGCCTGGCTATACTCAATGGAATGGGCCCTGAAAATCTGAAACAGAAAAATATATTTCTTAAATCAAATGAACGGATGTACGTTGAGAAGAGTCATTTAAATGCGATTCAAGGTAGTAGTCAATTTAGGATTAATATTCGAAAACGTGTTCAAACGCATCGCGCAATTCGCAAAAGCTCCATCGTTTGTATTAATATTGAGAAAAAGTGACAAAAACTTACCTTCGCATTCGTTTTTCGAAGTAATCTTGAACGATTGGGTCATTTTGATCTACCCGGTCTAGCACATTGTGAACGTTTTTCTCCAACCACGGCAGTAGAACGGCGTCTTTCCAAATGTGACAATTTCTGCTCACGAACAACGTGATTAACGGTGCCAACGCTTTTGGTGTACTAAAAAAACCATTTTATTGTTTAAGAAATCAGTACAAAAAATCAAATATACTTTTTCTCATCTGGCATTGTAAAAAATGAGTGTTGTGAAACCCGTTTGTCTATTTGTATAGAGCATTTCTCCAACAAAGGCATCAACGCCTGCGGGAACATAAGAAGTGCATCCTAAAAATAAATTAAGAAAATTTGTAGCAAAAAACAAGTACTTAAGGAACAGACTTTTATTGGGTAAATAACACCAAAACTCCTGGGTAAATAACACCATTAGGACCCTATTCTGTAACCATTCCGTTAAAAGTTAACGGACGCTTAATTTTCAATTGGTATTCTATAGAGGCTAGTTCTCATAAGCAAATTTTCGAAAAAAAATTCCGAATAATCGGACGATTTGACAGGGGTCGAGAAAAATGAGGTGTGTTAAACAGTTATTTTTCTGTAACAGGTTACAACGTTTCAGTTTCACCTTGGTAATAGGTTTCAATTATATCGACCTTTCAACGTCTATTACTATTCGTTTTTGGAGAACTGAACAGTAATTCGTATAAACGAAAAGTGATATACAATCATCTAAGCAACGCGCAACTACATACAACATATTTTCCGTTGACAAATGGTTATTGGAACTGCTGCAACTAGATAGAGCGCTGACGCGAACCACTTTTTCAGGTTTATGAGACGGTTCCAAAAACAACTTTTAAATCAGGAAACGGCTGCAGCTGGTGCGAAGTGCGCACAACTGAGACGGTTCCAAAAGAACGATTTCAAATTAAACGTTTAGAACAGTTATTTTAGCGGTTACGTTAAATACCGACCATCCCTAAATCCGAATCAGCAGATGCACGCGCTGAACGAAATGAACAAATAAGTATTATAATATCTATTATAAACATTTTGAATCAAAATATTTGTTTTGGTTTCCATTTTTAGAATGGACATACCGCAAAAAAATTAAACATATCAAACTCACCTGTAATAGATCATTGGCCTTCACTACGTCGCCCAAATAAAATCGGGCCATTGCAACAGAAAATGAAAAATTTGGAAGCTGCATCAAATAGAATCTGATATCTGATTGCTCAACAAAGTCCACAAGCCACTGATACTCTTTCGCTCGAAGAGCGTAAAAATCTATAGATAGCTTAACTGCTACCGGATCACCCTCCGGGTCTAAGGATAACAAAAGTTTGCAAAATTCCAATGCAGTGCGATTGCAGGCTCTTCCACCCAGAAACGCTAGATGTTTAAACATCGCCACGTACAATGCCCTGAAAGAATCAAAATGTTGAAATAAGTGTAGTTTAGGTATTTTAATGTAATGATTAGTAATGCCTACAAAATGTTAGCCCAGCTCATAGGAGAGTGCAAATGAATTTTGTGATAAAAAAATGAACAGGCAAGAACCAGATAGAAAATATTGTTGAAGTTCCAACTTAAAAAAAATAAACACGAAGGCACTGGAAATGGGGATACAGTTAAGGGGTTGAAAACGGTTCTTTGCTATTTGCGGCAAAACGTGACCTCCTAGCACAACACATTTCATCTTAAAGGTACGCTAACTGGTCACAGATGCATGTACCATTTTAGTAAAGCGCTTCACACGTTCTTAGAGAAACCAGATCATTAAAATCGGGTTATTCTGCATTTTCAGCAGGATAAAACTGCCTGCAAGACTTAACCCCGCTTGATTTGCTTCATATTGAATAAATGAACGTTTCAAGCATTCGTTGATGCATTAAAGGCCAAACTTTGTGAAAACATCGATTTTAAAACAGAACTTGAGGCACGAACAATATGTAAACTTTGATAGTCTGATAGAACAGTGAACCTATGCTTCTGTTATATCAAAAAGTGTTAAATACAAGTTTGCAACTTTCTTTATTATCTATCTATCTTATTTTGATTATTTTACCATTGCACGTTTCTCGCTAGATCACGTTTGTCCGCAAATCGCAAAAAAACCGGTTTCAACCCTTAAACTGCATCCCCATTTCCAGTGTTTTGGATTTTTTCTTAAAGTTGCAACCTTAGCATCATTTTCCACCTGATTTTTGCCTGTTATAGTTTTTTTTATATCCAATTCGTATCGGCACTAGCTTTTAATTGGATAAGCTACGGCAGTCTTCAATTTTAATCCGAAACTATTTCATCACGTTTTTGACAAAAACTTTTCCACCTCATCTTTTTCCAAAATGTCATAAACGATTTTACTGGAATTTTGATGTAGTCACACTCATAAATTCACAATTTATTAAAAAACATTTTGAGATGTCAGTGAAGTAAAACATGTTGAATTAAGCGCACTTTCGGCGAAAAAATTTCCTGGATGGTTTATAAAATATGCCAAAAAACATTCAAAGTTTTGAGGAAAATCACCATTTTCATGCTAATTTCGAGCGCTGTTGCCAAACAAAACAAAACTATCAGCTTTATTCTGTTCATGAGCTTTAAAGACGGATGATTTTAGCAATCGAGGAAGGTGCGGGTTAAAAAACTTCTCTAATATGTTTAATTTTAAAAAGACCGGAGACAAACGTCCGGTGGGCTTTAATAAATGAAAAATTTCACACATTGGAAAAGGTCTGGTTCGAGGATTCTGAGGGAGGCAAAAATTCACTAAACACATCTAAAATTTACAAAACAAACCACCATTTAAAGGTGGATGATCTCTGGTAATATTATCTCCTATGAGAAAAACTGTCAATAAATGGGCGAAAGACGTGGCAACAAAGCATTGTCCTCAATTCCCGAAAGAGGCAAATAATCCGCCATCCAGGGTGGCCATTCGTACGGTAATTACCGTACGTGTACGGTAATTTGGGCAATTGCACGGTGTAGGTCCCGAACCCGTTACCGCGCCCCAAGTGAAGTTACCAGTGTGAAGGCTCTTTTCATGTCATTGAGACCTATGTCCCACTATGAGGAATTTTTTTTCTTGTCACCAGCCATGTCCTCAGCCTTCATGAACTCATGGAATCCAGATTTTTTGTTTTTTGGTCACTAGGCAGAGGCCTTATGCATGAATCTCTGGTACGGTAAAATACGGTATTTTTAAATGGCTTGTACGGTAATACGCGGTTTGAAAAGTTGGCCACCCTGCCGCCATCTGACTATCGACGTGATAACCTAAATCGGTGGCGTTGTTAGTTGGCGACGTTAGAAAAGATGCGCAAACTTTTGCGAAAATCACAATTATTATGCATCTTAGCGACAATGCATGTGTTACCAAGTGTGTTCACCAAGTTATGAATTGTTGATACCTAAAACACGATTTAGCAGCAAATAGTATAGAACAATCTCATTTTCGTGCATAAATAAGTGGTTTTGGAAAAGGGAATTTCAATTTTCGCTGAGAGTGCTTAATTTGAAGTGTTCTTTACGGTAAAAAAAGAAAAAAACTAAAAATTCGGAAAGACTCAAACGACACAAGCACCCAAACTAGTTTTCAGAGGGTTTTGAAAATATAATTACTCACCGATTCTCTTGTCGTCTATAGTCCAAACGACAGTTACCCTGTGTTACACTGAAAAGCGGATGAAAAGCAACTTCGAGATAGTACAGTGCCTGTTCGATTAATTCTGCAGCCATCGCCAAATCCTCGCTCAACTTGCACAAATCTGATGTCTGAATCAGCGCGTTTACATGATAGGGATAGTCGTTAATAATCGACACAATGGTGTCCGGGTTTAAACTTTCCACCGCCTGAAAAATAATCAATTTTAATTCTGTGTCTAATCACTTATTTTCTAAACCGATAAACTTTGAAAATTCATTTGTTGCAAATATACTCGTATAACTGTCCCGTGTTTTTTCAATGTTGATACAGAAAAGTTTCACTACTACATCTTCCGAGTTCCATCGGCCACTTGCGCGAGCATTCATAGTTCGGTCAGATTAGACCTAAATAGGCCTGTTTTGGGCTCYAATGCCCGTTTGCACCGACATACTTTAATCGCGATTAAGCCTTAAACCGGTTTAAAAATCGTAAACGGTATGCACCGTCGACTGTTTTGACCTTAAACGCGTTTAACTTTAATCCGCCCACGTCCGAGGATTAASTTCTTAAACTAGTTTAAATACAWAACATAACCTTTCAMWTTGAGGGTTTTGTTATAGATAAAGACGAGGTTTTGTTTTCGTCCTAGCAAATTCTASTCGGTTCKTATGTTAACTACTTGGAAAATGGAGTTGGAAGAAGAAATGATATTAGATTATTTTGATGCACTTGACAAAATCCCTTTTTATAGACGCTTTCGTTGAACAAAACCGGTCGTTTTTAGATTGCAAGATTCTGGATATCGCTTTTATATAGTAAAATCGCCAGTAACTTTGTGATACCTATTGGTTGATTTTCTCAACAGTTAATAACGGTCTTCACCGTTAATATGTGTTCCTAGAAGAAAAATCGTTATCTCATATCATTTTTGGCAACTACCCGCAATGGATGGCGGATATATTTTTTTCTTTTAACAGCGATATTTAACACGAACGGCGGCACATTCATTGGAACACCGCGCAAAAGTTGATAACGGGAGTCACTAGAACACGGTTGCCATATCTTTACAAGGTTTAACTAATCCGCCGCTGAATTTCAACGGTGCATACCAGATGGGTTCTTAAACAGGATTAACTTTTAAACGCGTTTAGTTGATCGCGATTACGGAGCTTGGCGGTGCATACGGCGGATAATGGACGAAGGTAAAATAGGCCTTAGGTCCATGACATAAATCCTATTAGAAAACCACCTACGCGATCACGTGCAGGGTAGTCGGTACTTTATTCCTACTAAGTTCTGGACAACAAAATGTCATTTGTACATTTTTTATAAACAATTTGCAAAAACGCGATTTTTTTAAGTATCTCGTTTGTCAAATTGAAAAGATTGCAGCAATCTTAATGGTATATTGATACCATTAACGTTGAATTGTAGAGAATTGAATTACGAAGAGAATGAAAGTTCTCATAGCGCACGTGAAATGTTTGCTCTTTTGCTGAAAATTTCACATGAGTGGTCGATGTTTTGGAAAAAATTAAATTATCTCCCAATGCCGCAAAAACTGTAAATTTGCATAATTGAAAAGCTCATTTGGCCGAAAGTAATACAAAAACTGGCACGTGAAATTTTTATTCCTTTGCCCAAAATTTCAAGAGGTGAAACGTGAGTGAAGGTCAATGTTCTACGATGTTGTACTTCTCCACGATCCCGGTGGAACACAGACCTACTTCAAGAATGCGACCCGGCCTTCGCAAGCCTTGGGTTATCACCCAAAAATCATACGGAATGAAAAGGTTCGTAATAGGTTTATTTTGATTTTGTTTTGTTCGTGGGAATTCTATTTCGTTAAAACATTTTTCAATAAAAGAATTTGGATAATTATTGAAATTTAGAATTTCTTTTATAAATTGTTTTTCTTTGGAAAAATTAGATTGATTACAGATAGAGCAAAAATAATTTGTAAACTAAACCATCACCAAGTACTTTTTGACGAGTTTTGCAAAATAACTTTGTCGTGCCTCTGCTCGAATTGCGGCCGTTTTTTCCTTCAATGCCCGGCTSAAACGCATCAATTGTGTTCGGTAGATGTCTACCGAACTATTCTTATTATCARGTTAACCGTATTGTTAACATGTTGACATGGAATAAAAAAAACAAACGTTTGTTTGTTCCTATTGAAGTCTGTGAGCCCAGAAAATATAAATTTCACACTGTTGATCTTATTTTTTATTAATTCATAGTTGAACATATTTTGTAAATGTTCTTACACAACTGTCAAAGTTGATCATTATTGTATAATACATTTAAAATTTTAAGTTTTTTATTTAATGTATTTTTTGATGGTCGACATGTGCCCAGGTGACCCAATTCAAGCAAAAATTAAGCCATTTTTTAAATTTTGCCGAAGTACTTAGAAACCGTATGTCTTAAGGTGACCACACTTTACGTAAAGCTTTAGAATTTGACGGTAAATACATAGAAAAATGGGAGGTTCCATTTGAACTAACCAAGTTATTGAGATTAACAAACATGCAATTTTCGATGGTCATTGGGCGGTTTATTGGAAACTTCTCGAAAATTAACATATGCCAACACGTAGCTTGTTTAGTCCTCTTGGAGGTCCACAAAACCGATTTCAAAGTTTGTAGCGTTTGTAGCGAACGAGTACAGCGCCCATTTCTGTGCAACCCAACAGCTGTCTAAATTTTCATATTTTTTCCAATAAGTTAAAAACCGTACAATATTCAGGGAAAACGTTTGAAATAAGTTTAAATTCAAATTTGACGATAAATCAGAAACGCGCAAAAAAATGGTCGACGGTTTCATTTAAAAAACCGTAGTTGGTAACTACTACACGTTTATGACGTACCCCGTATATTAAAAAGTTATTTTAAAATGTCTACCTTTTAAACACCAAAAACTTTCTAAGTATTGGTAAAGAAGTATTTTCTTCCAAAGTTCATATTTACTGAAATGTCGCATTTTGACGCACTAAAGGGCAACTCTGTAAATACAGGACAGCAACAGCAAATGTAAAATTATCCAACAAACAATACACAAATAAATGTAAAATCGAGAGGACTGAGGCAGGGCGATGCGTTATCCTTTAAATTTTTCGACACCTTGTTAGAGAGCATGCTACACAAAATCAACTGGGACATCATCACATAAGAATGAACATTAACGGAGAGAAATTGAACCACCTATGCTTCGCCGATGACATCGTCTTAATAACGACAAGATGCCAGAAGTACAGTCCATGATGGAAAACCTTTGTGAGGCGGCAGAAAGGGTACTAATCTCATCTTGAGTGATTCCATCAAAATTAACAACAATAACATAGAATAAGTAGGCCTATACAAATACCTGAGACACGAGATAAGTATTGGAAAAGACAGTCAGACGCACGAAATAAAGCGTAGACTATGTAAAGTCATGCAACGTAAGATGGAGAGATGCAATACTGGGAATAAGCGTCCGAGATAGAATCCCAAATAGAACCATCAGACGCAACACAGGAGGAAGAGATGTTGTCGATACCATTCTGCGTATGAAGTGGAAATGGGCCGGTCATGTGGCCAGAGTAACCGATAGTCGATGTATGAATGGCCGACAATGGAGATCAAGTGGAAGCAAACAGAAACAGAGGACGCCCACCAGCCTGATTGAGTGACGACATAAGAGACTAGCTGGAAATTGGATGCTGATGGCACAAGACCGGAAAGAATGGCAAAGTATGAGTGAGAAGCTTTTGCCCAGCAGGGGACAGTATAGGCCAGGGATGGCAAACGTTTACGGTCCAACGTGCCATTTTCCTAAAGAAATGTTTAATGAGGTCATAGACGTGCCATCAAATAATTGTAACTTTGGGATTATTGGAAAACTAATAATAATATCGATAGCATTTTTCTGTAGAAAATAGAGATTATTTATAAATATAAGAATAATAATAACTACTGTCAACTCAAAACACTTTATTGGCTTCAAAAAAATAGGAACATTTCGCAATGTTTCAATTATACGCTTAATTTAAATTAAAGTAAAATTAGTGTGACTTCTGTTGCTGCAGATTAGATGACAAATAACATATGTTAGGATTGTAAGATGTTCCTTTTAGCAGAATCCATGCTGAACTGGAGTCATCTGTCAAACGGTTTCTAACTGAGTCTTTAAGGTTATTCATCTCTGAAAATAATGACTCGCGGACATAGGTTGATAAAAATATTGTTAAAATAGCATGAGTCAGCTTCTTCAAACAATTAAATGTGTCTGGAATGCATTCCACCTTTCCTAGATTTTGTTATTAGCATTTTTACTTATATTACTTGTCAATCGATCTGTTTCAATTAATTCTAACTCTTTCCTTGTTTCAATAAATTTTTGAATCCATATTGAACTAGACCGGAAATCAATCAGCTGCATTTCAAATTCTTCAATTTCCAACCAATTCAATTGGGACAAATTCAGTTTATCGAATGACATCAGGGTACATAATAAACTTGAGTATTTGAGATAATTCTTTGAATTGAGAAAATCTTGCTGAAAATTTCTTGATTGAAGAATTAATCACAGAAATAAATTCTTCAGTGACTTGGTCTTCATCTGGTTTCTCATGTATTTCTAAATCGTTGATTTTTTTTTCAAATTTTGACAATACTTGTAGTTTCTTGTGATAATATCGTTCCTCAAAACTTCCAATTTAGCCTCAAAAGCGCGAATGAGATCTATCATGACGATAATTGTTTCATTTATGCTCTGAAGTTTCATGTTTAACTTATTTAAATGTTGGCATATGTCTGCAAAAAACATCAATTTTGAAAGCCACATAACATCCAACAACTCTGGATATTCTTCCACTTTTCCCTCATTTTGCAGAAACAGTCTGATTTCTTCCAAGCAATCAACAAATCTTTGAAGTACGTTCCCGCGACTCAACCAGCGAACATTATTGTACACCAGTAAGCCATTGTACACAGAGTTGACTTCATCTAACACAGCACCGAACTTTCGCTTGTTTAAGGCCTGCGACGAGATCAGGTTGACTGTTTTTGTGACTACCGCCATTACGTTATCAAGAGATGTTCAACCACTCTTAGCACACAAGGCTTGTTGGTGAATGGTGCAGTGGAATTAAAGAATCGAATGTCCTACGTCTGTTTGATACAAACGTATGAAACCATTTTTTTACCCATCATATTTGGAGCACCATCAGTTGTTACGAAAACAATTTGTTTTAAATCAATTTCTTTTTCAGCAAGCGAATTTTCAGCAGCCGAACAAATATCAGTCCACTTTGTAGTTGTTAGCAACAGTTTTATGGCAATTAATTCTTCCTTAATGACGTTTCCAACGCAATATCGAGCAAAAACAGTTAAACGTGCAGATTTATTGACGTCAGTGCTTTCGTCACGACATAGCGATATAAAATAATTTTTTGTTGATATGTTATGTTTTCGGCCAGTTTTAAGATTCTCTTTAAGAGTATGCTAACCAGGCTTCTTTCAATAAATCTCCCCTTTGAAAAGGTTTACAATGCCGAGCAATGACATTTGCAGCCGCAAAACTTGCAGTGCTCGTAAGACAATTTTTGCGAACATATTTCATTATATATGTTGACTGTTTATTTTTGTCTTTCAATGTTCTACATACCACTGTTCAAGAACATAAAACGCACAGCGTCTTGTCACCTTCACTAATCATGCAATATTTCTCTGTCCACCAAGTTTGAAATTGTCTGATACTCCTGCTATCTTGCACTTTTTGTTTTTACTGAACTAGCCATATTAAATAACAGTTAAAGTGATAGATAAAACTCAAATAAACTGTGAAATACAATTATACCAGCTACTATTATGTAATGCATAAACAAACTATGCGTTACCAGCAATAGAAACTCGCGATGTGGATTGGTACGAAAACAAACGAGCGAGCGCCGCGCTTGCCCCACCTACAGCAGCCACCCCACTCACCGTACCCTACGCAGCCCGCCCACCACACGTGCACATACTACAGCGTAGGAATCTGTTACACTTTTTTTAACACAGATGATAATACCTACTACACACTTTTTTTCGAAGTGCACTATAATTAATTTTGTGATCAGTGACGTGATCAAATACTGTGTCGCGTGCCATTAAAGGCACGCGTGCCAGTGGTTCGCTATCCCTGGTATAGGCTGATGATGATGATGATGATGAGGTGTGCAAAACCTGTACTCGGTGGGATTAATAGTTGTCGCAAAATTCCCATTTCAATTTTTTTGCGATTTTTTAGATGAAAAAAATTGTTCTCGATGAAATTGGCGCATTCGCAAAGTCGTAGTAGGCAGGGTTTTTATCTGAAGGTAGAAATGGGTACCCTAAACAATTAAGCTCATAACATTCAACCTCTGTACCGAAAGTAAAAACCCTGCTTCCAAAAATAATTAAAATACAGGGGTGTTTCCATCTTACGTGTAACACTGTATGAAAATAACCAAAGCATAAAGTTAAGGAATACTCACTCGTAAAAATCTATTTTCAACTTGGCGATAATTCTGATTATGCTCGTAAACAAAATAATTTATACCATCTTTTGTCTCCAAAAGTGCCATTGAAAGACCGGATTTATTAGCTTGTTGCCAGTGTTCTTTGTAGGCTACCATCCAGGTGGTTTTTAAGTGTGTTCTAGACCCGCTCCTACTCTTCCTCTTACTGAAATTGACAAAACGTTGATTATGAATAGCTTCAAGAAATTAAATCTTATTATCAATTTATTTCCAGAACTATAATAAAATCATACGAACGCCTACAGACTTCGGCGTTGTATGATTGTTGCATTTTTTTTAAATTATAATCTAGGATTTTGTTAGCCTCGCTGGGCCGTTTATTTTGAAAGTGGCCGAACTCCATTTGTCAATTTATTTCCGACTGCCGTGGATACATGTTCTTCATGTTATTTACCAGCAACGCATTTCAGATTGCTCATATTTCGTGCAAATAAGAAAATTCTTGATACATAGAGTTTCAGAATTAGTTCAATATTTGAACAGTGTAGTTTGCAAGTGGCATAACTCCATTTATATTTAAATCAAGGTATCGTCGCTCTAAGATTTTTGATCAAAATATAACTAATATAAATATATTCGTACGATCTGGGAGTCTATTCTTGACTTTGAGAGTATTTCCTGGAGCCTCTCAGGGAGTTTCTCCTCGCTCATAATCCCCAGGGAAAAAATGGTATTCTTGAATAATAGTTAGGGAATGCAAGTGAACACGCAGTCCCTGCAAACACTATTGATAGATTGTAAGAAAATTTTGACGGTCTGACAAACTTGCCAACCTCATTTATTTACTATTGTGGAGTATTTTGTGCCAAGCTTTGGGTATAAAATAGAAAGACACGTAAGAATCATGGACGTGTCTTTATCAAAGCTAAGAATCGGTCGTTTATTAATAATACAAATAATACATAAAAAAAAACTTATGCAGTTCTTTGACAACAAACTTAAATGCAAAATTATGGGCGATTTTAAAGCGCTTATGCAATTACCCCCGATAATTACACCCCGTCCAAAAATGTTTTATTTAACACAACATTGAAAACAAACTCTCTTCTTCTTCTTCTTACTGTACACTTTGTAAAGCTGCAAAAAATCGCATAACTGCTAATTCTTATTGAAAGATTAGAATTAGCAGATTAGAGAGATTAGATTAGAATAGTAGATTTAAATCACAACAATTTAGATTAATAGGGTTACAATTTAGATATTAATATTGCAACAGTTTGTTTCATTTTATTCTTCTGTATGAAACAATTTATTTGAGGGCCTAAAGGATACATTTGGTTCTTTAAGTACGACGCATATTCCGTCTTTAATAGAAAATACCTCATTTTTGAAATCAGTTAAAAATGAACTTTCTCTATTTTAGTACCATATTTAATATTCAGACAATGTTTTGTAAGGAATAAAAACATAAAAATTATAAATAAATCAAATTCAGATTGTCTCGTAACTAACTGAAGACAGCGCACTGGTTGGGGAGTAGCATGAAAAGTAAATAAAAAAGTACGAAAATATTGTTCGTATCTCACTTAAACCAGAATTCATGTGGATTTGCTTAATCCATATTTAAAGTCGCCATTTAAGCATTCAGTTTCATGAAGGACGTATATTGGCATTAAATCCGAAGTACCGGTCATTCGGGGTGAATTCGGATTGTGGGGGCAAACTCGGACAGACCGTTTCTCATCATCATCATCATCATCTGTGGCTGCACAACCCTGCGTGTGTTTTTGCCGACTCAACCAAACGTCTCCATCCTTCTCTATCAAGCATCCGATCGGAGCCATCTTCGATCATGACTTTTAGGTCTTTTGCAATATTATCTCTGCATTTGAGGCGGGACCGACCCAATGGACTTTTTCCCTCTGGAATCTCCTCTCACACCAATTTTACCATTCTATCATCTGGCATTCTTTTTACGTGTCCTGTGTAGTCTCCTGGCTTTTATTTCGTTTATTATGCTGATATCAGTGTGGAGTTCTTTGAGTTCTTGGTTGGTTTTTATTCTATTTTGCCCTGTATTTTGGTCTCTAGTTGGGCCGAATATTTTTCTTAGCACTTTCCTTTCAAAGACCTTAAGTCGGTCTTCACTTGCAACCGTTCGGGTCCAGGTCTCGCATCCATATATTATGACAGGTCTTATAATTGTTTTGTATATGTTCAGCTTAGTTTTTCTGGCAAGTATTCTAGATTTTATTAGGTTTTGAATAGCAAAGAGGCATCTGTTTGCAGCCTGTATCCTGTTATTTATCTCCTCTGTGATGTTGTTGTTTTCACTAATACTTGTACCGAGATATTTAAATTGTCTTGTCCGCTCAAAGTTGTAGTCTCCGATAGGGAAGTTTTATCCTACTCTATCTCGGTTCCGATTATTTCTACTGAGGTACATATACTTGGCCTTGTTCTCATTCATTTTGAGGCCTATCATTTCAGCTTAATTTTCGAACTTTATGAAGGACTCTTTAAGGTTGATCCTGCTATTGCTAATCACATCGACATCGTCTTCAAAAGCCAGGAGCAGGTTTGGCCCTCTTGATGAAAGATAGCAGTTGGCTTCTCGATTTTGGAATTCCTAATTACATATTCCAATGCTTAGTTAAAGAGTTGAGGTGAGAGGGCGTCACCTTGCTTCAGACCATTACTAATACTGAAGCAGTCGGAGAGACTCTGTCCCACTCTTACCTTACGTCGCGTATCCTCCATACATACTTTTGTCAGCGATATAAGCTTTTTTGGAAATCTAAGTTTTTGCATTGCTTGCCACAACTTTGATCTAAATACTCTGTCGAATGTCTGTTCGAAATCAAGAAACATTTGGTTGAGGTTTCTGTTGAATTTCCAGCATTTCTCCATTATTTGTCTAATGGTAAAAATCTGGTCTACGGTGGACCTATTTGATCTAAAACCACATTGGTAATCCAACAATTTCTTCGGTATATGGTTTCATTGTTTCTAGCAGGATATTGAAGAGTATCTTATAGCATGTATTCAGAAGAGTTATTCCACGATAGTTTATGGATTTACTTTTGTCTCCTTTTTTATGTATAGGGATTATTATTATTATTAGGTATTGCCTTCTTTCCACTCATCCGACAGGGCCTCTGTCCTCCAGATGATTTGTATAAGTTTATGTATGGCCTTATGGAGTGTTTCTCCGCTAGAGTTTATGCATTCGGCAGGTATGCCGTCGCTGCCTGAAGCTTTGTTATTTTTCAATTTCTTTATTGCCTTCACTGTTTCTTCGTACGACGTTGGCGGTGTTTCTATTTCGGCCGTTGGTATATTTCCCATCCCCCTGTCCGTATGCCCACCACAGTTCGACTTCACCCCGAATGACGGCATCTATACTAGACAGAGGCCTATTGTTCAATGAGCAAATTCATAAAGTCATACTTAAAATGCCAGTATGAAGTAATAGCTATTATCTAATAGCAACCTTAAAGTCTAAATACCGTCAGATTTGGCAACTTTTTCAAGTGGATTTGCCAACTTTTTTTCTCCAGCTGGGCACGCAGTTCTTTGTCTGCGAACTATTATTTACTTGTTCTTAAAGCACATATGAAATTGAAAACGCGGGTACATAGTGTAGAATTTTAGTGGTATGGAAAAATTGGAAAATGGAAACATAGTGGTAATGCTACCTTTTTAAGGTMAYATTTYATTACTTTTGACAAATGACTCTACATTGAAATGGCGAATTGCAAATAACAAATGAATAACTAAATATTTTCAAAATAGCACTTTAGCACGTTAAAGTTMACGTSMGWSAWWCAGCMCWGKGCYGTATCATRAATGMKAWYTWTAACWGCTCAACAMRWTAAATGTTGGCRACATTWRCWKTWMATTTGGAAYWGCAWMCRWKSTGWKYKCTAYMWCCGAKTTAAYKTRTGTTTCAAATGTTKTCGAGTMCARTTATCYWTCWGWCTGTGTTTTTGCAAAAAKKAAGCAWWWCATATAYRMTKCMYACAAGKGRRAWG